AAGTTAATTTGTGAAGATGCAAATTGATGTTAAAAACGGCACACCAGCTAGCCAAGTAAAATTTAGCCGTCGTTAAAAATATAATTAAAAAAGAATTATATATTTTTAATCCCTATTTTTAATATTCCAATAATATTAGAAAATGATTTCCCTATTTTTAATATTCCAATAATATTAGAAAAAGATTACTTTTACCTAAAATATGAAAACTCAAATACAATGTATTAAGAATTTAAAATTTATACCAGCTAAATTCAAGAATGACATAATTATTGAATTCTTAGTTATAGAATTACAAATTCAATGATATTGTCTTTGAAATTTGATTTGTCGAACCGCGAACAAATAGGATGAAATAATATTACCAATTTAGATAATATAAAATGAGATGTATCTATATTAAGTTCAAAATAAAATTATATATTTTATTTTTATTAAAATATAAAATTTATATTTTAGAAATCATTTTAGACTTACCCAAAACATAAATAATCCTTTTTCGAGGGACCAAAATGCAACTATTCCATAGTATTGGGTTGATACTTTATAATACCCAAAAATAACACGAAAAAAATCCCAATCTGAAAAAGGGAGCGAACTCAACTACTACTGAGAACTGAACGGACTCAGAAAAATTGAGTAACTGTTATTCAAATGTCTGCTTTACTTTCATCCACTCCATTTTCCGCCATTTTTGCACCTTTCGAGCTCACTCGCTTCCTTCTTCCAGCTCAATCGAGGCTTCAACTGAGTTCCTTGACTCGGTATCGATCCGGTTTCAAATCGGCAACTTCTCGTTCCTTAAATCTCCGGTGCTGCTCAACAATGCCGGTTCAGGACCAATCTGAAAGCCCTTCGTGTTCTCAGGTTTTGTAACTTATGGAATTTTTGCTGATATTTCTATTTATTGTACATTTTATTCCGCGTAAAATTGTACATGATTGTTTTATTAACAATGTGGAATTGTATTAGCAATGTAATGTTTTAAACTGATATAATAGGGGAGTTAATAAACAAAGTTGAGTGACTTCCTGAGTTGTAAAACAAAATTGAGATAGTTTTACTAATTGAGTGATTTTTGTGTTATAGAATAAAGTTGAGTGACTTCAAGTTATAAAGCAAAATTGTGATGATTGTTAGTAATTGAGTGATTTCTGTGTTATAAAATAAATTTGAGTGACTTTCTGAGTTATAGAACAAAATTGAGATAATTGTGGTTAATTGAGTGATTTTTGTGTTACAAGTGACTTTATGATATATATTGTTAGTTGTGTGATCGACTCTGAGAAATTAACTCTATAATAGTGATGGTGAGTTTTATGTGGGGACTATTATCATTACTTCTGTTCCCAATTTACGTGATAGTGTACATAGTTTAAGCATGACATGAAGGTTTTTTAAATTTTGGTTTAAAACAAGGCATAGATATTTGTGTGGCTATAAATAATCTCATTAAGGTAAAATTATAAGTTGAGTTAAATTGTTTCTAGAATATTGAAATGTGTTATTCTTTTTTGAATTGAATAAGAAGGAAAGAGTGTCGCATGAGTTGGGACGGAAGGAGTATTTTTTTATATCTGAAACCGCAAGCGTCCTTAGTGCTTAGTTTTTCATGGTTGCAGGATAGTCTTTTCTACAGCAGAGCATTTTGGGTTACCAAATCAATAATTGCTTGGAATGTGGGTGCTGGAGAGGGTGAATGTTACTTATATGCTAGTAGAAAGGCTGGATTATGTGTTGGTGATGATGGAATTCAAGGTGTGTACTCTAGGTGGCATCTCAGGTACTCCGTTTGATTATGATAATCAGATCTGATCCTAAGCTTTTTTATACATAACAGGCCATGATGTGAAAATCAAACTTGAACGGACAAATTATGGACTTCCACAGCAGGTGAGTCACTGAGTCCGTGATGGGATCTTTTAGTTGTTCGAAGGATTGTTTTTTCCTGATTGATACAAAGATGGAGCAAATTTATGTGTTCTTTTGTTTCCTTACATATTTTCCTGCTTTAGGTAATTGAAAAATTTCCTCATATTCGAGATTATGCAGCATTTGAAGTCCCTGCAACTCTGGACTTCCAAAGTTTAGTCAAGTGCCAATTAGCTGTTGGCATCTTCAATTGTAAGTAGTTCCCGTGTTTTTGCCTTTCTATCACTTGAGGAAGTCTAAGACGGCACTTAGTAGGAACCACACCTCCACATTTCTCTTTACTTGAAAATGATACTTTTCCATCTAATGCAGTACTTAAGAAAATGAATCATTGACATCTTTTGGTAGAACTCATAGTCGATGAAACTTGTTTCATATTCTGTAGTATGCTCATAATTCAAGGAAACCTAATTCATCTGGTGGTGATTATTGAAATATACTGCTATTCTAAATTGTCAGTAGCAAACATAAACATTTGAGCAGTCCTTTGCTGCGTCAACACTTCGACGTTGTTCCTTCATTTATTTGTCTTGATTTGAGACTTCAATACCTTTTTATTCTCTAGCTTATCTGATTCAACAGCCTCACTATCTGTATTACACGCTATGGGTAAGCATGTCTAATGTCTGGTAAAAATGGGTTTATGTTGTTTGTAGCTTATGGAAAATGTGCAAGTGCTACTGGATTGCAGTTACCTGGTATTCTCGATGACTTATTCTCCTATACTGGCCCCCTTGGTGGTATTTTCGCTACTGAAGCTGTCTCTCTCTACCTCTGGGCACCAACTGCTCAAGTGTGTTCTGTTCTTTTGTCTCATAGCTTTTCCTTCCAAGATAACACTTTTGTTTGTAATGAATATTTTTTAATGACCAAAATTGAGGGATCATTGTGTTATTTCATTAATCTGCTGTTTCTGATTACGCCTACCAAACCAGGCAGTGCAAGCTCTCATTTATAAGAGTCCATCAGAGGCTGACCCAGTAGAAATTGTTCAGCTCAAGGAGTTAGATGGTGTTTGGAGTGCTAAGGGGCCAAGGCATTGGGAGGGTTGCTACTATGTTTATGAAGTGTCTGTTTACCATCCTAGCACTTTGCGGATCGAGAAATGTGTGAGCAATGATCCATATGCCAGAGGGTATGTCGCTCTGTTTTCATCACTTGCTCTTAAGGAAATTGATTTTACTGATTGCAACTTGCTGTTTCCATAGTGCAATTATT